ACACACTTGTGGAATACTCCACCCAAAAATTACCCTTATGTAATTCCAAACCTGTATGACTTTCTTTCTCCTGTGGAACATGAAGATAGTTTGAAAAATATTTTTCAGTCAGTGGTCTTCTATGCTGGGTTCACACTGTTCCTCAAAATTTATTATTTAAGGCCCCACAGAAGAAAGAAATGCTTACAGGTTTGGAACAACATGAGGGTGAGTAAATATAATGTTCATTTTGGGTGGACTATCCCTAAAAAGTAAAAAAGAGAGAATACTGAGACATTCTTAAATTCATGTGAATTTTTAAATTTAAATTGTTTGAGCGACAGCATAAATTTGTGTAAACGTAGAGATTCAACAATGGACCAGATGTGTCTCTTCAAATGTTGCTCAAGCCAAATGGTCCAAAATCTAAACAGAGTCTGACAGAAGCGCACGCTCTGTCCTCATGCGGTTTAAAAGAGAATGGCGAACTCACAAGAGTTTTTGAGCACTGGCATTTGACAACCATTTGTGAAGCTGTGTAAACGCTGTATTCCAACCATTCCTGTGTGAATGCACACAGAACGTGGGATGGCAGTCTGGCTCAATGTGTTCCATTGTGTGCCAAAGCCACTGAGCATGCGGTTACTGGCTGCCACTCATTGTGGCAGGATTTATGTATCTGTGCCACTACCATTCTCTGTCTGTCTCTTAGTTTATTCTGAGTAAAAATGAGGCATCCAAAAATAAGGCACCTTCAAATGTCAAACTGCAAACTGGGGGGGGGGGGGACATATTCACAACAGGCTGGCAGGCCCTGACCTGACACCCCAGAATCACAGCAGTCCAGAATACAGCATGCCATCTTACAGAGCTTCCCTTTGCCAGCAACATATGATGACACTGCTGGTTCACCCTATATTTACATAAAACTTTTATTTATTTATTTATTTTACTGAATTATAAAGCAGTAATTATTTTTGAAAGAAAAAAAAGATTTGTATGATGATTTTCATGTTCATGATGGAGCACAGAAAAAGGTTTTGTATTACTAGTTTTGTCAAATTAAGGTCTATATCCCTGCTGGAAAAAAAAAATGTAATATCAGTTTAAAGTGTCCAATCTGCTTTTTGGAGCATGAAAGATGGGTTGTTACCAGTCTGGCATTGTCTACCAGCACTAAGCAGCTTTATCAAGGTCTAGCTTGATCTAGAACCCAATTTGGTCTAACTGTACAAAACCAGCTACCATCAGATGTAACATTAATATAACATAACAGCACAGCTACAATTAGGCTATCATTAAATATTTAGATTTTAAATGATGATGAAAAGTATGATGATTAATGATCATAATCCATCAAAATGGGTTTAAAGATTACCAAGAAAATATAGATTGTTTTGCAAAACCAAATCATCAATTAAAATACACAGTAATGCTTTAGATTGATTTTATATTATTTATACAGGCTTTTGTTAGAGAGGAACATTCTCATCTACCAGTGGATTTTCTTATGTGCTTCCTGAGATCATTTACATGTTAAAGCGCGATCACACCCACTATGATGATATCAGGCAAATGAAAACATTTGCAGAATGACAACCTTTGTGGTATTAATCACTGCTATATTTAATTGTCTCCTGATATTTAAAAGCATATCGATATTTGAACATATTACTCACAGTTTACCTGATACCCCACTTTTACTGACCTCACCCTACATGCAAAAATAATAAAATACAGACAAGAATATAGACTCAAAAGGGGGCACCTCCTTGTCCTTCACGCCAGCTTTAACTTAATAAACACCACTGACATTTGTTCATGACCTGTATGCAAAGCAAACAGCCAGTCACAGTGTAAAGAAGGAGAAATAATGTGCAATGAATCAGGAATAAGACTTAAGGGGGGTGTGGTCAGAGTGTTGTTGCCCCTCTATAGTGCAACAATTCAGAATATCAAACGAGAAAAAGAGGCCACGAGGGAATAGTTATGTTTCATAACACATATGCACCTCTCCCACAGTCCCAGACATCCATGCATTACCCACGAGTCGGTTTCTGATCGTTTGTTCCATTTCGATTGCATTTTACAGTATGACGCATGTCCATGGGGCATTTTGAAGAGGTGCACTGCAGAGACGCAACGCACAGAGACACTAAACACGCTACGTGCCAGTATGAATGAAAACAATGCGACAAACTACAACGCGCTTATTACAATCAAACCAGCTTCGTTTATTATAACAGACGCGTGCATATAACAATAACTAACGCCTGTCAAGCAGAGACAGCGACTGCATCACAATCTCCGCGTGCACGCCGATTCGTTAACAATTTTTGTCTTCTTTACGCGTAGGCTTTTTTTAATGCACGCGCCTTGATGGTATTTCCTATTGTATAATGTGAACGCTAACCACAATGTCAAAGTGCACTTACCCGTTGTTGTTGTTGTGTTTTTTTTTATTCAGTACGCTGTAGTGTTGGCCGATGTGCAGTCAGATCCGCCCTCTCGTACAGTCCGCCTCTGTGATCGCAGGACGACGCCCCGCCCCTTATCCCCCTCGACCAATCACAATTCAGGCAAATTGTACACGTTCCCCTTTCGAGCCGCTATACACTATGCTGCTCTTGGAATTGAGCATCTTCTTGGTTGTTACATGAGTACCTCACCAGTATTGATGGACAGCTAATGGACACAATGGGCATGTTGATGACAGATGAGAGGCAGGGAGATTCGCCAATCAATACATCAGCAACGGCACACTGAATTGGCATTGAATAGATCTGTTTGGGCATCTGACTAGATGACATTGTATCGAGGAACATCAGACTGTCCGATGTGAGACGTGATACCCTTGTAGTTTCCAGTTCTTCATGCGAAAATGCATTTGAAAATCCCCTGAATGTAACCTCATACATTTATGACACCCTTATAAAAATAGGCTGCGAGTTTAAAAGAGCATCAAGTGTTGTGGAAGGACGGAATTCCTCTATTGTGTTGTTTATCCGGTTCTGGAACATGATTAAGTAGCGTTAATATAAAAATATAACAATAATAGGCTTAGTGCAGCACTCCCTTTATTTTTGTAAGTGGGTGTGTCTCTTTCTGCTGGTTTCCTATTACACTGAACCTGTGTTTCCTTTCAGGAGCTATGCTTGCATGAACAGGTCAATGAATTTTCCTTCTTTTTATATATGCTATAGTGGTCTTAAATACATATTGACAGTTTAGGTGGGCCTTTTTTCTGTCTGTCAAAGATGGAAGGGTTTGTCTATATTCTGGCTTAAGTATATCCAATTATAATTTACTTATAAAGCAATTTCTTATATTCATAGTTATTTGATGCTGAAAAGATATTTCAAAGGACAGTTATAGTTGGGAGCAAAACAAGAGGTAGCAATGAGCAGAAGGATACATATCACATTTAGACACACACCAACTTCCTGCTTTAATTTAGCAGTCCTGTGGAAATTGGGCAGAGCTTGAGCATAGATGCAGTTTTCAGTTTCCCCCTCTAGCTCTATAGATTGAATCCACTGACATAAATATCAAAGCCTTGCAAATGAATTTCATTGGTGTTTGCTGGCAGCAGCATTTCAGAGGTGGTGACATTTAGAAAAAGAAAAACATTATTTTTGACACCAGAGAAATACAAGGAAAGGATGGTGGTTCTCATTCAGTCAGGCGAGACATGTTTCATAAACTTCAAAAGACTGATGAATTATATTAATTTATTTATTCGGTGTGAATGTGATTATCAGTTATTAAGAGATAAAATCTGCACAATAATCAGTTTATAGTAAGCTAACAATAAATATTCCTACTTAGGATGTTATAATACATATGCACATTCCAAGCTATACCCTTTCTATATACCACATTCCCTATAAATATCTTTCTAGCACATTTATAGTATGGCTTATTACTGGATGTGTTTGGCATGAACCAGTGCCAACTGATCATATATGTTTTATATATGTATATTTCAACACTAATTGTACTAGTGATATGGATTATGATCAAAATGGATTTTTAGTCATAATCTGTCTAAATCACATTTAACACGTTTTGACCCTTTGGCCAACCTGATGATTATATATTTAGAGTGATAACTTATTCTTATAACTTATAAAGGAAAATCTTTACAGTGGATGGCCTGAAAGATATAAACAATGCTTTCAGTCATGTAAACTACTGGCATGTTATTCAGCAGGATTAACCATTATTCCCTGGAATCACTCACTGTGAGGTATTTTAGCTACTAGAGATGAGCTTGGGGTTCATGCACCTGAGATAAAGTTTCCAAATGTCCATTTAAACACTAATAAATCACACTCTGAAGACTTTACAGTGTATTGCTACAGATTGTCCAAGACTTCCAAACAAACAATCATCAATTCAACACAAAACCACACTGTTAAAAAACTGATATGCTAATATAAATCATTACATTTACACCTCAAAATAACAAGTGAACACTTTCGTAAAATTAAACATTTTCAGTGAGAGGCAGGTAAAAACAACAAGCATCGTTAGACCAGCTAACACAAATGTACCAATCTACAGGGACATTAATGATGCCTCTATGTTAGACTTTCTGAGGTAATTAATATGAACCTGAAGTAGAAGGTCTTCAAAACATCCTGCCAACATTATTGCGGTCAGTCAGGATGTATGCATTGTTTTCCACTGACATGCTGAACAAAAGTTTCAATCTTAACACCCAGGATTAGAGCCATGTCGTTTTTGGATTGAGGAATCATCCTCTACATGATGTTGCACTGGCAATGATAGGCGTCTTGAACACTCCAAATCTAACCTCAGTCCAGCTTGTGGATGGTGAACAGTTCCAATAGGCTCTGCATCCAAAAAACTAGAACTACCTTGATCAGCTATGACTATTTGTTGCTGGTCAGTGTGTGCTGTAAGACAATCAGGGTCATTGTGGTCCATGCTACATGGCCATCTTTCAGAATAAGACCCAGAAGGAGTCTCAGAGGAGGGCTGTAAGGAAGAGTTCAAGAGCTGGAGCTCCATTGCCCCTGACAGACTTTCACTGGACTTTATGGGACTGTCAGCAAATTCGTGGGGATCAAGTATCTGGGAAAAATCCAAGAGAAAGATTTAAAGACTCGTATGAGATTCAATAAAAATTGATGACTGTAATTTGAAAGTTTGTGAAATACCTCAAGAGAGAATGGCTGGCGTTTCCGTCTCCAAAAGGTTGACAGGATGGACCAGTTTCTTGCCTAGTTTGGGTGGATTTGAAGATGCTTCTATAGGGGACGTCACAGAGCTGTAGGCCGGTGGAACCAACACCATCTGCCTCTGAAGCAAGTGCATTATGGCCCCCATGTCTGTTGACATGCGCTTCTCCAATCTTTGAAAGAAACAAGACAACAAACACAGCTCAAAGTTTATGGATAAAGAGTAAAGGATGCCAAGATAACAACAATACTGTAGCGGGATCTCACCTGTGGAGCTGTCTCTGCATCATTTCCAGTCTATTCTCTACCTCAGTGCAATGACGATGGGTAACACTGTGCAGGACAGTATTGGAGGGCACTGAAGATGAGGGTAAAGACATACTGTGGCTGGGTACTTCCTGGTACTGATGGCCACGACTGTCCCCCCAAAAGCTGAAGATGTTAGAAACCCCCGAAAGAGCTCCTAATTTAAGAGAAGGGTAATGTCAAAATTATGCATTCACTGCAAGGGAAGAGTTCATCCAAAAGTGACAATTTGGTCATTATATTTATACACAACCATGTCGTTCCAACCCTGTATGAATTTTTTAAGAATATCCTGATTACTTTTTTCATTGGAACATCAAGCACCATGAGTCTTCTGGAGTCATACAATAGCTTTGTGTGAAAAACAGATAGAAATTTAAGTTGGTATACAATGAAAATCATGGCATCCACTTGAGAGTTCAGGAGAGAAGTAGCGATGTCTGTTTGAATGAATGAATCTGTTTGTTCAGTTCATATAACCAGCCTGAATGATTCATGATCTGGCTGTAATGGTTAACAGCTCACTAGTTTGGAAGATTATCAGTGAATAATGACTTATAGTCATAGATATGAGCTGTATGGGCTACATTAGCAATGTGTTTACAATATGTGACCCTGGACCACAAAACCGGAATTCCTCTATTGTGTTGTTTATCCGGTTCTGGAACATGATTAAGTAGCGTTAATATAAAAATATAACAATAATAGGCTTAGTGCAGGACTCCTCAGTCTTAAGTCGCTGGGGTATATTTTTAGCAATAGCCAAAAATACATTGTATGGGTCAAAATTATTGATTTTTCTTTTATGCCAAAAATCATTAGGATATTAAGTAAAGATCATCTTCCATGAAGATATTTTGTAAATTTCCTACTGAAAATATATCAAAACTTAATTTTTGATTAGTAATATGTATTGCTAAGAATTTAATCTGGACAACTTTAAAGGCGATTTTCTCAGTATTTTGATTTTTTTGCACCCTCAGATTCCAGATTTTCAAATAGTTGTATCTCAACCAAATATTGTCCGATCCTAACAAACCACACATCAATGGAAAGCTTGTTTATTCAGCTTTCAGATGATGTATAGATCTCAATTTCGAAAAATTGACCCTTATGACTGGTTTTGTGGTCCAGGGTCCATATTTGTGTGGTGCTTCTGCATCCTTTTGTAAGCTTGAAACCTTCAAAACTTTTAGACTAAGAATGACCACTACCTTTGTTATTTTGTTTTTCGCAGAAGAGAGAAGCTTATACAGGTTTGGAACAACATAAGTGTGAGTAAATTTTAATTTTTTCCCCCCTGAATGTATCCTTTAAAGGCTTAGCTCAGCCAAAAAAAAAAAGAAGAAGAAGAAAATTTAGTCATAATTTCCTCACCCTCATGTTGTTCCAAATCCATTAGAATTTCATTCATCTGCGAAACACAAAAATATATTTTAATGAACCTTGAAAGATTTATGTTCCTCCACTGAAAGTTCAATTACCCAAAACTTTGATACTTCAAAAATCGTAATGGAAATCCACATGAATCAAGCAGTTTAAAACAAGTCTCCTGAAGAGACACAAGCATTTTATAAACAGATTTTATTAGATTTTTATTCACATAAAAACATTGATCAACACATACATACAGCACATAAAATATGGCAAAATGGAAGCTCAAACATGCTTGCTTGACATGCGAGAACCAATGATGTTTGTTCTTGTGTCACGCAAGCATATTTGAGCTTCTTGTTTACCATATTTGATGAGCAATATGTGTTATGTGAATAAAAGCTTTTAATTCTATTCATCAATACAATGTCTCTTCAGAAAACATGGACCACTCAATTCATATGGATATCTTTTATGATCTTTTAATGAAGCATCAACGTTTTGAGTAATGGAGTTTCAATGAAGGGACAAAATCTCTCAGGGTTCATCAACAAATATCTTCATTTATGTTTCAAGGATGAAGGAAAGTCTTATGGGTTTGGAATGACATGAGGGCGAGTAAATGATGACAACTTAAGTTTTTGGCTGAACTATTTTTTTTTCTTCTATTTTGTCTTAGTCCACTTCTTTCAGGTAGGTGAGCTAATACATAACACTTATATAATACAGTACACCTACTGTAAATTAGACAGTAAGCCAGTTTTAACAGGAAAGAGATTAGTCACAAAAGTTCACATTTTCAGAATCCTACCTGACAGTGCATTAAAAGAGTTACTGCTGTTGTGGTTCATGTCACTGTTAGCATTGCTGATACTAGTGAAATGGCTCTGAGAGCAGTCTACTATTGCAGTGGACTGCAGAGTCTCTTCCTCTTCATCACTGCTGGACTTGGAGGCAAAAATGTCTGAGTCCCGATGAGCAGTTTGTCTGTCCTCGTGCTGCTTGCTTAAATTCTGTGTTCTGAAAGTCGTCCTATTGAGTTTTTCTTCCGTCTTCTCTGTATCTGCTACTAAGAGGAATTGCAGTAGAAATAAGATTCAAGAATCTGAAAGAAGCTTTCACACAGTGTTTGCTCTTACCTTGTGGGATAGAGTTTCGTTTGGGCTTGAAGAAAAGCTTTGCTCTTCGTGTGTGATGGTCAAGACAGCCATGGTCAGAATCGTCAGGGTCACTGCTCATTGACCCAGCTTTAGTGTTAGTCTGTTGAGAAGATAACCAAATGAGTGTGTTTTTGAACATTTGTCTTTATGTACTATTAAAGTTACACAGACATGTGCGAGCTTACATCTCTCAAGTTAAAGGTAATCTCCAGATTGCTCCAGAAGTAGTCTGAGAACTCTGGATACATGTCCAAGACCTCCACTATATCATCTCTGTGGATTTTATGCAGGTCACAGTACGTCAGTGCTCTCACATCAGACCTTGACTTTCCAGGACGTGCATATAAATTAATGGGCTCTCCAAATATATCGTTCTTGCCTGCAAGATAAGCCGAAGGAAGAGATATTGACTGTAAGCTTTAAAACACAAAGAATGCTCAAAATGTGTCCCATAATGCATCTTTCCCCAGTAAACAGACATTAAACACTTTGAATTCATACTTCCATACAATTCTTATTATTTTTGCAATAGAAATATATGGCAGAAATAGTAAGAATAGTATGCAGTATTCTAGTATGTAGTATGCTATTCTAAATTCATCCTTTGCATTATCAACAGATCGCACTGCGTGTCATTAAAAGAAACGTAGCACGGAAAATAACAAAATGTCCACAAGACGGAGCCACACAACAACAGCTTTCTCATTGAAGTCTCAAAAGTACCAAGAATTCTTGTACTTTGAGTGAATAAAATAAAAATGACAGAACATTATTGACATGTTTGCGGTTTTATTCTGCATTCACAAGATTAGTCATAATCCAAAAAAAAACGAATTTAAATGATTTTGTTTTATTATTTCTCCTCAAGTTTATATATCTAAAAGTACTCTAATGGTGAGTAGAAAAAAAAAAAAAAGATCACTGCAATAGAATGTATAAATATTCTACATAATATTTTACAAATATTCATAATATTTTCATTTAATAGATCTTTAAAGATGAAAAGATGTTTTGCTTTTATATTTTAGGAATGTTTTTTGGAGAGGGGGCTCCATGGAAAACCCCTGACATATGCATATGATCACAATGAGATGCTGAGTACTCTTCCATTACCTAAAATGGCCACTACCACATCTCCCTTTAAGATCTCAATGGAGCCACGAGAAATGAAGTATAGCGCTGAAATCACATCACCAGCGTGGACCAAGGTGTCTCCTGGTGGAGCATGTGTAGTCTTGAACTTCATAGCCAAAGCACGTAAGCAACCTTTACTGGAGCCCTTGAAAGCTTTACAGTTCTGTAGCAATGTACGATTCAGATGCAAACAGATGTCTGCCTGTAAGCACTCTGGGAACCCCTTCAGCACCTGCAATGTGATAAAACATAGGTTAATGTGATAAATGGTACCACGTTATGTGCTCTGTCATGTGTGCATGCAAAAATAAACAGAGTATGCCCAGGTGTTCTGTATGTGGCTCTGTGACTCACAGCATTCATGTCAATGCCGTTAGTGTAGGACCAAGCATGCTGAAAATACTCCTCCAGTTTTTGCCTGAGTGGGTTGGGGATCTGGTGGAAACGGATGAACTCCCGAACCCGTAGCATCTGAGTGTGGTAACGTGCGGTGCCAGAGTACAGCCTCTGGATGATGGCTGACACATTTCCAAATATGCTAGCATACATCAGCGCTGTGAAGAAAACAACAACAACAACAAAAAACATTTTCTTTCAGAGCAGTGTGTTAATCCACACGATTTATCCACTTTAGTCCACAAAATGCCCCCAAAAGGCATGTCTACTAATCATGTTTAGTGGGGAAGTTTACTATTATTGGCTCTTTATCAGCAGGGCCTTTATAAGACCATAGAATTTTATTGAAAGTTTAGACCGAGGGTTCTTAAACCAAATATGATAATCTCCTTGTGAGGGACCCCTTCCTAAAATATAAAGGCAGCTATTTTTTTTTTCAGGCATAAAGACTTATTTATACTGTGTATGAAAATATTAGAATATTAATAATAAATGATAAATAAAAAAAATTACATTGAATAATTGAAAAATTACATTATGTGTGATATTATACATTACTATTCAAAAGTTTGAGGTCAGTAGTATCACGTCATTTAGTACTTATCAGAACTGTTTAAGCCGTAAAGTCCATTCAGCATGCTTCTGTTTTTCAAATAAAACCAAATAATCAACACATAAAATGAAGTCAACAGACAGACACATATAGTGGTTGAAGCTCATGTGCATTAAATATAAAAGATGTTTACTCTAACTGTAGATAGAGATTTATCTATCTACATACATTTATCTATCTAGATACATATTTTCCCTCATTTTTTAAAGACTTTGAAGCATGATGCCATATAAAACTCTGTGTGATCGCTTAAATATCGCCTACTGACAGCGAAAAAGTTTTATCTGTAGTCTTTTTATTTAATGTTGAAAATATCACCTAATCACATAAGTATGAAATTAATGAATATTAATATCATAAATATGATAATATCATAAATAAGTCGCTTGCAATTTTTAAGATTACTGGCTGATTTTTGCAACTTAACTAACGAAACTCTATTAACAACTAGCCACTCTAAAGAGGCATTTGTGTGTATTACCACCAGCAGGGACCCAATCCACCAATCAGAGAGGTTCCTGAATCTCAACTGATTTTTTTTAATTAGTTAATGTAGAATATCTTGTGTGAATATTTTACCCATGGGATCAGCACCTATGGACTGGAGTAATGGAATAAATTATAGGAATAAAATTACATTTTAAAATATATTAAAACAGAAAACTGTTATTTTGATATGGTATTTTGATCAAACAAATGCAGCCTAAATAAATAAATGCAGAGCATACAGGACATCTTTAAAAGACATTAAAAAAAAAACGTACAGGCCCTAAACCAGGGTTCCTCAAATTTTGCCCTGGCGGGCCGCTGCCCTGCAGAGTTTAGCTCCTGATCAAACACACCTGAAGCAAACTAATCAAGGTCTTCAGGATCACTAGGAAATCACAGGTAGGTCAGCTTGATCAGGGTTATTATTATTATTAATAATAATAATAATAAATGTTTTCTTTTTTTACTTTCAGTGGACTTCATACAGTAGCACCCAACTGCAGTTCCCAATTTGGAAAAAAATCAATTTTGCTGACATAAGAAAAAACACTAACCTCCAATGAGCATGACACAGATGGTAAAGATCTTCTCAGAGTTGGTGTTTGGGGAGACATTTCCAAAGCCCACACCGGTGAGGCTGCTGAAGGTGAAGTACAGGGCAGTGACATATTTATCTTTAATAGAGGGTCCTGATGAAGGATTTGTGATATTATACGGCTTCCCAAGCTGTTCCCCCAAAGAATCAAGCCAACCAATCCGAGACGGGCCGCTCCTTTCCACATTCCCAATAGCATACCAGATGCAGGCCAGCCAGTGGGCAATTAGTGCAAAGGTGCACATGAGAAGAAAGAGCACCGCGGCTCCATACTCGGAGTAGCGATCGAGTTTACGTGCCACACGCACTAATCGCAACAGTCGAGCAGTCTTCAGTAGGCCAATCAGAATCGTTGTCTGTCAATACATGAAAACAATGAGCACTGAAAAGTTAAGAGATGGTTAGCAAAAGCTATAATAGCATATTAAAAAGAATTGTTCACCCAAAAATGAAAATTTACTCACCCTCAGGACATCCAAGACGTAGATGAGTTTATTTCTTCATTGGAACAGATTTGAAGATATTTAGCATACATCACTTGCTTACCAATGAATGAATGGGTGCCGTCAGAATGAGAGTCCAAACAGCTGATTAAAAGCAACACAATAATCCACACGACTCCAGTCCATCAACTGATGTCTTGTGAAGAGAAAGCTGTGTTTGTAATAAACAATTCCATAATCAAGGCATTTTACATTTTAATCGTTGCTTCTGACCAAAATACCAGTCCATAATCCATTACGCTTCCAGTGGGAAAAAAAAGCATCCACTGCCGTCCTCTCACATCAAAATCCACTGATGTTTTTTTAGAACTGCTTTTGCTTGTAAACAGTGCTTGATCTGTGCATATTTCTCTCTTGATTCAGACAAGACAACTTTTTCAATAAAGAAAGCAATATTATGGATAGAGGACTGGTATTTTAGCCAGAAGCAACAGTTTGAAGTTAAAAATGCTTTGATAGACTTTTAACAAAGACTCTCTTGGACTCCATTATTGTGATGTTTGCTGTTTGTGATGTTCTCATTCTGATGGCACCCATTCACTGCAGAGGATCCATTGGTGAGCAAGTGATGTAATGCAAAATTTTTCCAAATCTGTTTTGATGAAGAAACAAACTACACCTTAGATGACCTGAGGGTGAGTAAATTTTCATTTCTGGGTGAACTATTCCTTTAAAAATCTAAATTACCCATAAGTTCACTCACATCTTCTACGGAGCGATAAATGAGCAAGTCGAAAGGAATGGCAGCCACCATGTCAATGAGGAACCAGCCTTTAAAATAGTGGATGGCTATTCGGCCGGGCTGGCTGACCACTTCATCGTTGCTATTCACGTAGGTTGTGCGAAAGTTAATCACAATGTCCACTACGAACATGATATCCACCATGAGGTCCACCACGTTGAGTGGACTGCAAGAGTAGCCACAGCGCTGCATGGCAGCCTCTTCCTCGTCGCTGAGCAGGAATGCAGCCGAATAAGGTGTGAAGATTGCCGTATAGATGACCAGCAGCAAGATGACCCAGTCCCAGACTGCCTTGAAGGGGCTGTAGTGTAAAATGGTCCATTTGTGGATTCGGGGAGCCTGGAGCTTATACTCAGGGAGGACATCTGCACCTAGAGACAGCACCTGAGGAGAAATATACTTCACAATGAGAGGTCTTTTCAGATTATGAGATGAATTATGCAACTGCTGCTGAAAATCTGCATTTGGACAATTACAATGACATTATATATGATTATTTTTAAAAACAAGCTTTAAACCATCAATGAAGATGTCCTGGTCTTGAGAATGAAAAAAAAAGAAAAAAGAAAATTAGTTACATTAAAGCTTAATGTACCCAACCGTTCAGAAGCGTTTTTTTTTTTTATTATTAATTTTCATTTTAATTTTTTTTTACTTACTATTCATCAAAATTTCACGGTTTCCTTAAAAACATTAAGCAACAACTGTTTTTTGTTTTGTTTTGTTTTTTGATAAGAATTTGATAATAATAAAAAAAAAAACTTTTCTTGAGCACCAAATCAGCATATTAGTATGATTTCTGAAGGATCATGTGACATTGAAGACTGGAGAAAATTCAGCTTTGCATCACAGGAATAAATAACATTTTAAAAATATATTCAAACAGAAAACAGTTATTTTAAACTGTAATAATATTTCACAATATTACCGTTTTACTGTATTTTATTTGTATTAAATAAATGCAGCCTTGGTGACAGAGAATTCTTTTAAAAACATTTTTAATGGTTTGGTCAGACATTGTATGGAAGCCTGTTTCTGCCACTGAAAAAAAAAAGAAAAGGTAATTGCGACTTTTTGAGATATAAACTCGCAATTGCGAGTTATAAAGTCAGAATTGCAGGATAAAAACTCGCAATTCTGACTTTTTTTCTCGCAATTGTGAGTTTATATCTCGCAATTCTGACTTTTTTTCAGAATTTCGTGATATAAACTCGCAATTGCGAGTTAAAGTCCAATTTTGAGGGGGGGAAAAAGACTGATATGTTCTCAGAATTGCGAGTGTATATCTCACAATTCTGACTTTATAACTCGCAATTGCGAGTTTATATCTCACAATTCTGAGAAAAAAAGTCAGAATTGTGAGTTTATATCTCGCAGTTCTATGAAACTGCGAGATTTTATTTCTCAGAATTGCGACTTTATGTCTCGCAATTGCGAGTTTATATCACGCAATTCTGACTTTATTGCGAGTCAGAATTGAAAAAAGTCAGAATTGCGAGTTTGCATCACGCAATTCTGAGAAAAAAAGTCAGAATTGTGAGATAAAAAGTCGCAATTACCTCTTTTATTTTTTATTCAGTGGCGGAAACGGGCTTCCATAGACATTGTGATGATCAGTGTCCAAAATTTGGAGGGAATGACTTTCTCATTAAATCTACGGATGGACAAATATTTGCAATACTGGAATAAATGGGTTGTTTACAACTTCATGACATGTTTATTGAACACTGTATGATCCGACATCGGTGACCAAGTCATTTTACTAGTTTATGAGTTCTGCATGTTTTCTCAAAAATAATGTTTAAAAAATTGCACATTTCATAGTCTAGCTGGTTAAACCAGAAACTGTTCAGTCTGTTTTCCATGTTTTTCCAAAGCTTGCTGTAGGACAGAAATATTCTGTCAGGAACTGAGTGGGCCGTAACTCAGTGTGGATGAAGTAATGAAGCCATGTTTAGTCTCTGAGATATCCACTAAGTACACATCACTGCAGGGAGATCATTAATGCATTACATTGTAAACACCCTCTTCTCCTCACCCTCAAACTTCATCTCATTATTTTTTCCAGGCCCCTAAAGCGGTGACCAACGTTTAGTAATTTGCTCAAAGCTCCAGTGAGAGAGTTTTGATTACTCTTACTTGTAATCTACTGCCTTGATTATACTAATAAAGACATCCACACACAAAAAATATTCATAGAAGTACTTAAAGTATTCTTCGTAGCTCATACTGCAGGTACAAATATATGCGTTTAAGTACCTCAAGATTTATTAAATGTAAATACAAGTTCAAATGATTTCCTGTTTTAAGACCAGTGAGGCAGAATCATTATTCATTTATGGTAATCTAATATTCCTCTTGCTCATTATGTACCATTAGGATGAAGAAATACATCTGCAGCAGACTGAAAAGCAAGTGGGAGAAAAAAACAGATCTTCTAGACTTAATTTGTTTATGGAAATCAAAGTTAGGCTATTTTCATAATCCAAGGACCTCATCCCACTGATGCTTGTACTCACAAATAACGCCTGCACTAAACAGCTCATAAAATCAAAATCTTAGTTAGCTTCCAGATTAATTATGTTTAATTCATGCATCTATTTTTGTAACTAGGTTACAATCTATGAAAAGGCTGGTGTACTTTCCATCCATGACTTTCCTCAGCACTCATTAAATTGTAGAACAGCAAAAAATGGTCAGACAATAACTACTGACCCTATAACTAATAATCCGCATAAGTAAATAAATATTTCAACCTCAAAGTCTCTGCTACTCTTACCTCTCTGCTCTCCTGGCCAAGAATGGGACTCATCTTGTCCCAAAAGCGGAGGCTCTGAGAGCCTTGTTTGCAAGGCATGTGTGTCTGAAATGAAGGCTGAGGCTGAACAGAAGGAGCACAGGACTGGAAGAGCTTGTTCAATAGCTTCAGCACCAAGGTCAGAATCATGATCCACAAATAATATTCCGACCGCCACTGCTCAAGGCTCAAGTGGCAGAATCCCTGACTCTAGCATTCCTGGAGAACGGTGAGCACAGGAGCTGCTCTTCTTAGAATCCAGGACCCTACCACCACCTGATAGCTATATCTCTGCTTATTTCTTGCTTACTTCTGCTCTCTCCATTTAGTTGTGGTTTCTCCGGTATCTTGTAGTCCATCTACTGCTATGCTCTGTGCTGTGCAACTATTGCTTTAAAACACTTTGTTAAAAAATGAAAAAGTTTTGAGGTAAAACCATTTTTGAGTCTCAATGTCCTGTTTGTGCTACTGCTCTGAGAGAGATGCAGAATACCTGCCAGTCACTTAAATATACATACAGAATGAGAGAGAGAGACAGAGAGAGAGAGAGAGACAGAGAGCGAGACAGAGAGAGAGGGAGAGAGAGAGAGAGAGAGAGAGAGAGAGAGAGAGAGAGGGAGGGGGGGTCACATCACAAACACATACGAAGCGGGCGCACCAAACTCTTGTGAGTAAACTGTTGCTGGGGCAGAATTTTTCCCATAATGTATCACATCTCAGCAAAAAATAAATAAACATTAGATATTTAATTTAGTACAACGGTTCTCAGACATTTTGATTGGAATAATCTGCTGTAACAAGTTGTTTATAAACTTTTTTATTAACTGGGAGTGTTACTATATGAAATTAATATATGAAATTAATTAATATTTGAAATTAATATATAGCTCTTATCTGGGCAGATTTGTTATTAAGCTACTTACAAGAAAGAAGTTGTTACATTAAGAACTACAACTGCACATAGGGGACCAAGGTAAATGCTCTGCTAATTTTGGATGGCAATAATAAGGACAATGCTATTAGAAAAGTGTTAATTTTTGGCAAAAATTAAATGGTGTGATTTCTTCTCTTTGAAGTTCACGCATTAAGCTGTTCTGAAAAGATGCTAATTGAATTTTATATCGTAAAAGGCTTTTCTTCCTTGATTTATTAATATCCAGAGTGTAGGAGGAGTTAACGGTGAGACCTTCAATCAATACTTCAATTCTCTTGAAGATGAATCTGCAGAAATGTGCATTATCATTATTGAATTTCTGTCACCTCAGATAATAAGTCACACCAAAATCCTTCTGTGTTCCTCATCTCAAGGCCTGATTCACCCTCAGTCCTGATTATACAGCATCATCTCACATGAAATTACAAGGTCGCTGAGTCCAAAGAGCACCAGTTGATCTCTCTGATTTGATGATCTCTCTGATCATCACCACAGACACAGTTGATCTGTAGAAAAAAACTTGTGTATTTGTTGCAAAAACATACAACACCTCTTTACAACACCTCAACTCATTCCAAGCTTGTTACAGTACAAGCACCGATTATCTGTTAATTTTCTTATTCTTCTGTTTTCTATCTGGGAGCTTATAGAAGCCCCAAAAAAGCATTCTACTCAGGTCATTTGGGTCAGATTTTCTAGATGAACTTTTCCTACAGATTTAATTGAACCTTCCCTTAAACATAAGAAGTGAGGATGTGCCTTTGCACATGAAGCATGCTATACGTCTTTGCTACAATGCCATTTTTTGCATGCCACGGGTGACATGATAGCTTTCAGCTATTTTTTAATGAAACGGGGGTAAAAATAAAATCCACTTGATAATTCAAATCTGCCACTTGTGTTTACATATAATCAAATATTGTATTTCATATCATTTTCAATTACCTACGTCTCCCAAAATTGGAGATAAATACATTTGGCTCCCGTGGCATGACTACACTGTCCTTGTGAATTAGCTGTGTGTGAGTTTGCCAGGGTGAAGGGGTGGGTAGGGGTGGACATGTCAGTCCAAGGCCAGTGTGAGATGAGAACACAACAGGGGTAGAAAAGAGAGAGGACTTGAGGGTGAAGGAACCGGCCTTGGGACTCAAAATAGCCTTCTGGGACGGAACTGCAATGAAGCTCCAACAAACCATAAAAAACTGTTATCCTCACTGGCTCCTTGTTCACTGACTCACCAGACAATTTACAGCTTTGATCTACAGCCAAGACATCTCTCAAGTAAACATGCTTTTAATTTATCAGATTAGAAGAGCCATATGTTGGCAAGGAAATCAATGTTTTGACTATTTGACTATTTCAGAATTCCAGTAGTTTTGATTGCTGAATGTTTTTCAGGCATCCCACTCTATTTAATCAATGAATTTACAATATGCTTCCAGACATTCCTGACTTATTGGAAAAGGGTCAAGAATAAGGATTTTTTTTAAATATTCCAAATCACAATAAAAAAATGTAGAGCCATTTTAAGATTTTATTCATATTTATGACTTTTCCAGGTCTAGAAAATCACCTCACATGTCCAGGTCATTCAAGACAGTGGGAACTTCTTCAATTTCTTCAAAGAAAAAATGAAAACAGTTGTTGAGGGGG